ATACTATAAACTATTTCAATTTGGTATAGGAGTTGATGGCCCCGATATGCATTTTTTTTTTTTGGCGCAAAATAAAGGCGACAAGAGCAATAGTGAACTGAGGCATCGGTTTAGTTTCACTTTTGATTCCACCTGGTTTCGTTTTGAAGTCAAAACAAGGGGAGGCAATTCAATTGCTAGCAATATTACTTTCAGATACATTTCCTGTCCAAAAAGAAAAACATCTTGCCAACCCACCCTTGGTGAATATCATGATGCGACTGGTAATGCGCTTGATGTCTATTGGAGAACATCTCCACATTTTCGTGGTGTTGTTGGAAAGCTCTGCGCTGTGTTGGTAGAGTAGAGGGTGGTGGTAGTTTATGCAGCGGTTCTTCAATCACACTGCTGGCGCGTTTTAGCATCGCTAGCTCCTGACGAGCACTGGAGAGTTCCTCCAACAATTGAAGCTCGCGATAACTCATTGTTTCCGAACTCTCGTCCATTGGTGCAGTTGTTGACGTCTGTTGAGTACGCGACAAAGACGGTGTCAAGTAGCCTCTATTATCCGACACCATGGAGGACTAAAAGCGCAAACAGAGAGCCTCCTCACAAATCGCACATCTTCTCAAGTCAAATAAGCGACGAACTCCAAGGAGAGGTGAAGAAATGCCACACAATGGTGCACCATGTGACCTCGTGCTTCCATGACTCACATCCTGAAAATGATGGCCGCCTTCCAGAATGTACAGGTGAAGATGACTGTACTTTTAAGTTGAGTTATGTTGCCAATTCTAATCATCTTCAATTCTCACACAATCTCGGCTATCGTGCAGTGCTTTTAATTGCTGTCTGCCAGCTACTCGAGTCGGGCCATCGTGTTACACTCACAAGGATGCAGCCGAGTTAATTGCTTAAGGTCGTGTGATGCAAAGCAGCTCTCCTTTAAAACTAGTTGTGGTTTCCACACCATGTCGGTGTCAACCTCGTTTGTGTCGCCACAATGTTTTGTTTCGATTTCGACATGCAATAGCGAAGGCCCTTTTAAAGAGACCACTAAAATCACCAAAATATTCTCAACTGAAAGGCTTTCTTTAGCGGATCGTGGCGTATTTGACGCGGGCCTTCTGTATTAGCTGCTGACCTATGCAATACTTTCAAGTTAACACGGTTATCCGACTCTGGGGCCAACGAAGTGCCCTCAAATGTGGCTTCGTATTTGTGTTCCAAACACTGCAAACGGTGGATGAAGGGTATCGGTGGGAGACACGTGGGTGTTCATGGTTATTTTTGAATAATAAAGCGATATTTTCCTCAAAAAATCGGTCAAAGGTGCACACATTTCCAATATTAATGAGGAACTAAAACAACAGTCAATGCGCATTTTAAATAGCAAATGTGTCATTCCATCTGTTTCATTTTGAAAGGCAATGGGGATGAGGAATGTCGGAAAAATAAAAGCGATGATCGAGGTATGGTTGCATTTTCATTCGCATGACAAAAAGCTCCACATCTCCGTCTACTCTCTTCTACTCAGTAAATATGGTTTACCAGGCCCTCATCTTGCTGAGTCAGATTATGTTGCAGTGATTTTTGGGGTTGTTATTGGCGTCAGTGGATGAGAAGACGGATTAGAATCGAATGCATGCCCTAGCACGTGCAAACTGAAAGCTGTCCAAGGTGAGTGTTAAGCAATGCCAATCCGGGACTTACTGGATACTTGGAATCAACCTTGTGTTGAAAGTCGAAAAGCTAGAATTACAAACCTTCTGGCACTCCGTACCATCAAAACAGGTGTCATCCAGTCGGAAAGTCCGTTGAG